AAATTAAGGCCAGTAAAAGGTAACAAATAGAATTTGACTTGGTAGTTAATTTTTCAATAAACATTTCATGACCCCTTCAATATATTTAGAATTTTACATTGATGATGACTTTTTGTTTTAAGTTCCTTTAACTATAAAATCTGTATTAAAAATTATATCTACTCCCAGGACCTGAGCTGATGTAAACAGACTCGATTGATTTCGCTGTCCGATCTGCTGTGTGCATGCTTAGTGTTGGAAGCGCCTAACGTTTGAGACTAGTGAGTCACCATGAGAAAATGTAAGTTTTCACGACTTTGCCTGGATGACCAGGTGACAGAGAATCACTTTGGAAAATATGAAGAAAGAAAATATAAATATGACTTTGTGACTGCGACCAAACCGAGCGGAGCATCTACCGTTCATTCGCAGCAGATTCCTGCGCCGGGGAGCAGATGAAAAGTAGGAACTTTTTTACACTGAATATGGGGATAGAAAGATGGTTAAACCCTTCTGGGTTAAAGCGGTGGACTTGCTGAGTAACTGGTTGGATGCAGCGGTTCCACTGACACTTGCCCTATGCCTGTTGGGAGATGGAACCCAAATGACAGAAATGGGTAAGGCAGTAAAATGCCCTACCCGTTGGCCCAAAGCCAGTGGTTCCCTGGCCCCTCCTGTTCCGGCGAAGCTGCGCAGATCACTGCCAGTTCAGACTTGTGGGAATAATGCATTTAGTGCCCACAGGTTCTATTTCTTTTCATAGCGCATGCTCACTGCGTGCTATTATTAGCCCTAGCAACAGTTGCCATGCTGCTGACAATGATGTCATCAACATGACTTCAAATGATGTCTGTGTCATGAGGCCCTTCTAAGGATGACTTTGTGATGTCATAGAGTCCATGACATAACCAACTGATCAGTTAATTCTCTGATCAGTCGACACAAATCAGTTAACAAGTCAGTCAACACACAATTCATTTGGAAGTTTTAGTTCAGCACAGTAAAGATGAATGACGAAAGCCCACAGAGAGAAATGGATGTGAGGCCTCAGGTCTCTTTTTGGACAAAAGTCAAAAAAACATTGTCCAACAAAGTTCATCCTGGACAAAGAAGTCCGGATTACAAAAAGAGAAATTTTCTCAGTGAACTTCTGTGGAAAGTGATCGAAAAGGCCGCAGACGGTCCAACTCTGCATCTGGTACGGCAGACATTTGAGGAACAACACAGCAAGATTTTGACTTTGCTTTTGAGAAAAACTGGAGAATTAAACGTGGACGTACTCTCGGAGGTATCAGAAGAGCTAAGTGAACGGATTTTCCAGAGTATTGCGAGAGATGCATTCCACTTTGCCTCTGGACTGCATTTAATTGCACTACTGGATTACCCAGAAGGACACGAAGTAATTGTGGAAAAATTCAAGCGTCACCTGGAGAATCCTGTTCCTCCAAAGAAAATGTTTAAGTCTACAAAAAGAAAGATCAGAAAGACGTTTTTTCCTAATGAGGACTTGTACTCGGATGAAAACTGCCTGAGTGACGAGTTTACTAAGGCAGGAATGGATCCTGAAGAGTTTTTGAAGGAAGCGAACAGGATGGGTTTCAGACGTGGAACCGAAGATGAAAGGAGAGTCATGGTGGAAACGATTCTTTGGAGACTGATTTATAAGTCCAGTTTCAGATCTAGTTATGGAGGTTACACAATGAAACACACCGAACCGGTACATAAAAAGCTTGCTCCGAAAA